ACTAGAGTCTTTTCAGGAAAGAGTATGGAATGAGCAGTCATAGTAGATGATGTTACTGTAAGGTGTTAGTATGCAGACCAATACCTGCACTGACCACACTGTGCAGAAATTACACTGATATTAAAATGACACTGGAAAAGAGTATGTACTTCCATCACACATAATCATACTTTGGGTGTACTTGTGCCTCTTAAAAAGAGGTTATAGTAGTATTGTTTCTTAAATAATAGTAAGAGGAAAAAGCTTGCATCATGAGTAGTATGCAGTGTACTTGCATTTACCAAACAACTAACTTGGCCCATAAAAAGTACTAAATCACTGCCTGCACTAACTATTCCATGGCAAATTTGGTGTATTTTCCAAGCTGTAATTCTGTCTCACGGAGGTAGCGTTTGAACTCACACCTTTCCAGTGGCAATGAAGGCAGGGCTCCCAGTGGGCATTCAGTTTCAGAGGCAGAACCATTCTTCCTCTGCATTCTCAGGGTTCCTCATCCCCTCTCTGCGTCTGACATGGGAAGGAGGACATTGGACAAAGATGCCAGACGAGGATAAAGATAGGGTGAACAAGAAGGGAGGTCAGTTGCATTAAAGAACAACTACTCTCAGTTTTTTGTATTCTTAAAAATGGTTATACAGGCTGTTGCAGTGATTACTGATACACTTTTTTAGTGAAGAGTATAATCATTTACTAAGAAAGTATTTACTAGCTGGTTTTGAGTTTGGATGTCTGAGAATTGATTGTTTAAATACATATCTAACTAAATACAGTGACCAGAGGTTTTCTGCATAGATTATGGCTTTTTATGTGTTCATGAGAGAGCTGATATAAATAGTCTTGCAATATAAAAAACTTTACACTTGTGTTTGAAACATCACTGCAAACAAGATGCATAACTAGTTACAGAGCTTAAATGTTCATTGTTGTGCCTTTCATAGCATAGAAACAGAAAATGGTAGTTAGCTATAAAAGAGATTGCTTAGGTTAAAACACAAGAAATGTGTCAACAAAAGTGAATTTTCTGCTTGAATGGCTTGGAGATTTTTCTGATGTCAACTTTTTCATCTGAAATTCCCATACAAAAGTTGACAGAAGTATGCATTTAAAAATATTAAGGACCATTGAAAACTATTCGTGTGTGGCATGGGTTATTACTTAGATCTTAATTTGGAATTTGACAGTGCAAGTACTGAATTTTTGTAGTAGAAGTTAATTTAATTGCTGTCCTTGTTATACCCAGCCTTGCTGTGAAAGGATCCAAAGGTTTTAGGTGAAGTCTTGCTGGACAAAATATATTAAAATCAACAGAAAGCCTGTTTTAAAGACAACAGATAAAAATATTTTAATTTCCTATGATTTTTCAGATTGTGCTTTTTATTGCCTGTTTCTAGCAGTAAAATTCTGATGATTTTTTGCCTTTAACTACTTGAATGTACTAGCATTTTAAATAAAAAATAGGTAAGTGGGAAGAGAGATAGATTGTAGTACACCTCAGAAAGAAAGATGAAAAAGAAGCAGATGAAGCAACTTCAGAGTTTATATAGTCATGTCAAGAAAAATTACAAATGTACAGCTTCTCTCCACACTTAAGTAAATTAAATACTACTTTTGGATGTGGTCAGACCTGTAAAATGGATTGAAATGGAATGGAAAAAAACACTGGGAGTTGGAAGGATTTCCAAGAATAATATGCATCCACATGAAAAACACCTGGTTCTGTTGCTCCATGAGCTGCTGCCTGCGTGACGGGGTTGAAGTCTAATCTGAGCAGGCTCGAGCAGAGTGGAGTCTGCCTCTTAACCCACCTCTCCACACCGTGCTGGATGTTTCCTGTTTTCTGTACTCTGCAGTCTTGCTTAACCATCTCAAAGTCCAGCTTGTTCATCCCTATCTAATCAGAGGTATTGTTTATTAAGTGGTTTGTTTTCCCCAGTCACCTACAGCCCTCAGCCCCAATGTGAAGATCTTGGCTGTTTAACCGCACTGGAAGAAACGCCCCTGTATTTTTGGCTCCACAGCAGAGTCTGCAGACAAGTACATCGTGGGGGCTGGGAGCTGTTAGGCAGAACAGGCTCAGACCACCAAGAGATTGCACAAGGAAGGGTTTGCTTTGTTCTGCATTCTGTGCAACTTAAAGCTGGGCTGCCACAAACATCATGACTTGGAATGAAAAACAGGCAAGCACGCAACACTCCTGTTATCTAAACAAAGATCTTTGCACTAATTTCAATACTGGGTATAGCAAACAAGGATACAACTTTAAATCGAGCTGCCTGTGGCAACTTTCCTGGGCTGTGAGAAACTGCTGTAACAGGACATGAGGGTAAATGCTGTAATGACACTGGTCTCTGTGGCTTTCTGTTGACATTTTGTTTTTAAATAAAGCAAGAAGGCAAACACTTGGCTTCTATAAAGGGAGACATTTAACTCTTTATTATCTGTTTATCTGAGCATTACATGGTCCCCCAAAAAGGCAGAGTTAGGTGCTGCCTGTTAATATTTGCATCAAGTTTGCAAAGTACAAACCACAAGATGTTCTGAACTGGACCAGCTTGCTGACAGGACCATTTGTAGATGTGGTTTCTGTCCAGGAAAACTGGACACCAAGGCAGAAATTCTAAGATAAAGTAGGCACAGCTGCCCAGGGGCTTACAAACAGAACAATAAATCTAACTCTTCTTCAATATTTAAAAATCACTGTCATTCTACAGCTGGGAAAGTGGCAATCCTAGCTTGCCACAGAGAACAAAGTCATGGGAAGTGACATTGATGTTGTTGCCTATATGTACATGGATAAACTGGCTGATGGGGTGGATTCTCCCAGTGCTGTCAGGACAAGTAATCAGTGGAAATGAAGTTACTCCAGAATGGAGACATGCA